GGGGACAGGCAGACCCAGGTCCTCGGCGAGGGCAGCAGCAAAGTGCAGGCTGAGGGGAAGCGGTGTCTGTAGGCCCACGTGGGGGAGGTAGGGCTGGTCCCACGTGTAGGGGGGGTGGAGGTGGGTAGGCCCATATGGGGGTAGGGCTGGGCCCACACGGGGGTTGGTCCCACATGGCGGGGGCAGGTGAGGGTGGGCCCAGGGCCTGACCTGTTCTGGACCAGGACGTTGGTGTACACTGAGTTGTTTACGCCTGGGTGGAACTCATCAGGGGGCATGACTCCTGGGGACATGAGAGCAAGAGGATCTCAGAGCGGGCCTCGGGGGGGCTGCCCTTGAAGCCAGCTTCCACCCCCTACCCCCATGCCACCGCCCTCACCCCTGAGGTGGTACTTCTCCTCCCCGGGGCTCCACTCCACACGGCTGCACCAGAACTCAGCCACCGCGCTGACAAGGTCCCAGCCCCTGGCATCTCGGAAGAGCTGCACGTCCTGGGGGAGGAGCCGAGGGTAGGCGGGGGCATGACGCCCACACTTCTCCCCTCCACGGGCTCACTGCACTTCTCCCCTAACGCCCACCCCACCCTTTAGAGCGCAGAGCCTCAGAAGGCCTGGCCCCAAGACAAACAGGAAGGCACTGGGGATTGTGGCCGCACCAGGAGGGGGCTCACCCACAGGAGGCTGAGCCTAGGTAAGCAGGTCGACATGATCATACCTCGTCTGGCAGGCACAGGGGCACCTCACCTGGGTGGTGTAGTAGTATAGCTCAAAGGCCAACACCACAGCCCCGTTGATATGCACCTCCTGGACCCCGTAAATGGCCTCAGGACAGACCTCCAGACCGGAGCCGGCACTCTCCCAGGCGAACTTGGCTCCCTGGGGAATGGAGCCGCCTTAAGTCTGTTCTGAGGCCACAGGAGCCCACCTCTTCCTGACATGCTGGGCTGTCACCCTGAGGGCAGATCCTTGCACAGGGGCAGACGGAGGTGGGGACTCCTCTGCCCCTCATGCGAACCGGTGGCTCCGAGCACCAGTGTCCTCCCCTGCCGTCACCTGCCATGCACCAGGTGCCCACTGGGTGATGGTGGGAGGGGTGTGGGGGGCTGTGCTCCCACCTCCTCCCTCAGTGGGGTGGTGGGGGGGAGTGCCACCACCCCCAGACACAGCAGGCGCCTTGCCTTCTCACCTGGTAGCCGAGGTTGTGGGCGTTCTTCCGAGCCCCAGCCAGCGTGCGGATGCGGTACTCCAGGATGGCCCTGGCAGCCTCCGGGTGGAACAGCAGAATGTTCGGAAACATCCAGAGATCCTGAGGGCACAACCAAAGGAGCCCTTACTCTGGAAGCTGGATGGGCTGTGGGGCCACACAGTCCCCCACTGGCCCACACCCTGCCCTGGGTGGTCTCAGAGCCAGCGTGCATCGAGGACAGACGGCAAGGCCCCCCACTGCCTCTCTCTCCTCCAAGGGCTTCCTTACCTTCCACCTGGCCTGGCCCAGGCCCCCCCGCCCCCTGTGCCCAGCCCAGCCGCCTTTCTGGCTGCCTCTGCAACTGCCCACACCAAAGCCCAGCTCTTCCCCCGGCTTCCTCCTCATCTTGCCCCTGCCCCTCTAGGCATCTGGGTCTCCCTAGGGCTCAGCCGGAATCTGAGCAGGGGGAGGCCGACAGCCTGCAGCAGGATCCTGCTCACTAGCTGACCCTGCCTGAAATAGCAGCCTCTCTGAGCCCATCTGTGAAGTGCTCCCACAGTGCCGACTTCACCAGGCGCTGGACTGCAAAAGAGCAGCACTGAGCTGAATGACCCAGGTCCCACCCAGTGGTCACCAAATCCTGCTTCTCCACCTATCAGCTTCTCCTGGCCCCTCACCTCTGTCCACCCTCGCCCCAGCACTCACACTCCACTCAGCAGCCACACAGGTTTTTCTAGAACACACCTCTGTTCCTCTCCTAGCTCGTGGGTGAACTATAAGATGCGGAATCCTGCTCCATGAGACCTTCTCCCCTTGCTGTGTGACACCCGGCTCCTCGCTGCGTGAGGGCCCCCACCCCGGCTTCCACCCCAGGCAGACCAGAGCCTTGGCCCTAGGGCCCTCTGCGCCACTGTCCGCCGGGGGGGGGACGGTGCGCACCTGGTCCCAGAAGACGTGGCCCCAGTAGCACTCGCCACGGCTGCCGTTGGAGAGGCCGCCGGGGCTGAGGCCATGGCAGACGTGCCCCGGGGCCCCGGGCTGGGGCAGCGCGCTGAGCAGGTAGTAGAGGGCGCCGCGCAGGGCTTGGCGCAGCCGTAGGGGCCCCGCCACGTCCAGGCCGCAGCCCTCCCAGAGCCCGACCCAGGCCTGGGCGTGGGTCGCGTACAGCGTGCCCCCGGCCCGCAGCCGCAGCGCCTCCTGGAGGTGGGCCCGGGCCTCCGCCTGGCTGTTGCCCACTGCGGTCAGGAACTCCCAGGCCGCGTCCTCTTCGCTTTCCCCGAGAGTCAGGGCCGCGGGCGCGGGTGTCCACAGCATGTGCACCTCCTGCCGGCTCCCCGCAGGTTGCTCAGGGGTGAGCGTGCGCCCGTACACGTACCTGCGGCAGCGCGGGCGGTAGGTCAGGGCCGGGGTCGATCTTCTTCCCCGCATCCCCCCGCCGCCACGCCTCTTACCGGCCCCCCCCACGGCCCTCCCTCGCGCCCCCGCCTAGGTCCCTCCCCGCACCCTCTCCCTGCCTCCCTGCCAGCCCCTCACCGCTCCCTCCGCCCCTCTTACCCCCCTCCCTCGTGCTCCCTCCTGTGCCCCTCCCGCCCGGCCGCGCCCCTCGCCGGCCGCCTGCCCCGTCACTGGTCCCCCCCCCTCACGCCCCCTCTCCGCCCACCGCTTCGCCTCCTCACCGTCCCCCCAAGCGCCCTCACCAGCCCCTTGCCCCATCCGCGCCCCCTCTCAGGTCCCCTCCCTTGCACCCCCTCCTCGCTCTCCGCCTCGTCCCCTCACCGTGCTCCCTGGAAGTCCGGGCCCAGGTGCAGGTCCAGGTCTGGGCTTTCTGGGGAGAAGGCTGCCCGAAGCTGCACGGTGATGGGCCGGCTCTCCGCGGCCATTCGGACAATGGACACGCTGAAGACCAGGACATGGGGCAGCGTGCGGTGGGCGTAGATGCGCTGGGAGGCCCGAAAGCTGGCACTCTCCAGGGTGTGCAGAAAGGAGCCTGTGAGGGCGGGGCCTCGGTCACTTGGGGAGGGGCGGAGGGGAGACCAGGTGCTCCGGTCTCCCAGACACCTCTGGTCTGGGAGCCAGCCACTCCGACCCCCGGTGGCCTTTCCTCACAGCGAAGGTGGATCCGTCCTCTGAGCCTCAGTTTCTCTGCTTGGAAGGCTATGGGCTGCACAGGTGACCCTCACCAGAACCCGGTAAAGGGAAAAGGAGGGTGAGACCCAGGCCCCTCACCAGCTGAGACCCCCTGTGTAGAGTTAGGAGATGTTGGGATGGGATTTCCTTAGGAGTGAGAAGGGGGGGAGGATGGACAGGTGGTGGCTACCTGTGTTGGTGTCCAGAGTGAAGGTCTCCGTCAGCTGCTCTCCTGGCTCTGCAGGGGCCTCCAGCTGGACATTGAGGGGGCTGGGCAGAGTAGCCCTGTGCGTGTCCCCACCAGCCCCATTGTACAAGCCGCTCATATGCAGCACGTCATGGTACACACGTGTGCCCAGGTATGTGCTGGTCACGGGGGCCCAGAGGCGGGGGTCGCTGGGCAGAGAGCGGGCAGTGAATGTGG